GTATGCAGGGAAGTTTGGAAAAGTGGAAAAGAACCAGAAGTATTAAAGAGGGTGATACTCTGGAGTGCTGTGTCAATAAAGCCAAGTGAAGTTGGACAAGGTCAGTATGGGCCTCAATTTCTACTCCCCCCCCACCCCAACCCAAAGCCAGGCCAATGAGCTTCCAAAGACTAACTCTTTCGCATTTACAGGCAAGGCCACAGTAGGACACCAGCAGATGACCACTCAGCATCAAGTTGGCCTCATGGCCATTCTATGTGAACTCCTTCTGTTTCTGTGAGCTGGAGCCTTGACTCCTTTCTTTGTTCAAGTTCCTATGATGAACTCTTGCATTTCAGTCTCCTTCCACAATATCCCAGTCTCTGAAGCCTGGGATCCTCCTGTAAGCTCATAAAACAGAAGTCTTGCCTCCTGGAGTCCAGGCTTATCTATTCCCTGGTGTTACAATCCTGAGCTGCCCTAACTGTGTGTCCTCACACATGTATCCTATCAATGCCTGGAACTACCTTGCCTTGCTTGTAATTCCTAGCAGCCTGTGGATGGTGTTTGGGTAACTCCTGCCAACAAATAAGCAGCTATTTAAAAGACCCTCGTATTACTACAGTATACTTATTATTATTTTCTAAAACTGTTATTCATTTGTGGAACAGTGCATGCACATTTAACTGTTAGGTGCCTACTGCATGCCAGGATTGTTGTAGGTGTGGAAGATGCAGCGGTGGACAAAACAATATAACTTTCCTTGTGGGGTTTGCCGTCTAACAGGAAGGACAGATTAACAATACAAGTACATAGAGTGCCAGATGAGGAAAAGAAATCAAACCACTTATGAGTAATAGTGAGGCTGGAGGGGAAGGAAGGAAGGGGTTGCTATTTGTGATGGTGTTAAGGCGGGGAGAAATATCGAGAAAATGAGTTTGAGCAGAGACCTAAAAGAAATGGGACAGAGACACGAGAAACACGAGAGCGAGTCCTTCTGGTATTTAGGTAACAAGTATTCCAGGCAGAGAGAATTGAAAGGGCAAAGACTCTGAGGCTGACTTGGCGTGGTGTGTCAAAGAAATAATGATTCCATCGTGGGTAGAAATGGTCAGAGGGGTTCATGGAGGTAGGAGGCAATCACGAATAACCATTTGGTTCTTGAAAACGTCTTGACAGTTATTCTAGGAAAATGTAAGTATTTAGTCAGGGAAGTTGACATTATCTGTCTTCCATTTTGAAAGGAACCTTTTGGCTGCTGTGTGAAGAGACCGTAGGGAGACAAGATCAGAAACTGGGAGGCTGGTTAGGAGGTGAGGGCAACAAGCCAGGGATAGATCATGTTGGCCTGGCTCAGGCTGCTTGTGGTAGGAGTGGTGAGAACTGGTTGGGTTCTGGACATAATTTAAAGGTAGGACAAGCAGCATACAGTAATGTTTTGAATATGCCATAAAGAAAAATAAAGGTCAAGGATGACCTTTTTATTTATTATTAGTATTTTTAGTATTTTTTTTTTTTTTGCCCATGAAACTATAACAGTGAGGTGCCATTTGCAAAGATGGGAGAGTCAATATTAGATATGTTAAATGTGGGGTGGCTATGAGACTGGAATGTCTATAAAGCTGTGTTCTGAGCAGGTGCGGGAAGGATCTGGTGTAGCAGTGGAGGGGATAGTAGTGTGCAGTGTGGGCAGGCCCTCCATGTAGCAGGAAGGAAGAAGGTGTGTAGGAACAGATGCACAGTGAATGGAAGAGGGAACAGTGAGGACCTGTGAAAGCTCTCCTGGAACTGCTTCTATTTTCTCAGTGAAATAGAAAGCCAGGTCAGTTGAGAATGAGGGTAGGAGAGAAGGTGTCAGGAGACATTGAGATAGAGAAGGTGTGAAGTAGACTTCTAGAACAGTGTGAATAGATTTCCGCTCATGGCCTAATCATGGGACTTAAAAATCAACTTAGTGATTTGAGATCAGTTTAGTGATTTTACATAGTACATAGAATTTAAAACTAGAGTTCATTGCACTTATAAAGAGTAAGAATTGCCTAAAACTTTATTTCAAGTGCACGTGTGTATGTGTGTGTCCAAGGTTGTAGCAAAAATATTTTTTAAAACATGGGCTCAGGACAGTGGTAGGAAAGAACAAGAGACTCTCATACAAGGTCAGAGACTTAGTTAACAATCACATGAGTTAACAATCAACACAGAATGTAGCCTCAGAAGATTTTGGCCTTGGAGCTGCTGGAGGACCACAATCCCTCCCCTCTCACCCACCTCCACCATAGGAAATCTTTCTGTTCGAATATTTTCAATAATGGCATTATTGAAATGGCACTATTTATCAGCTTAAAAGATAGAGATTGCGGGATGTAACTTTTCTCTATATAAAAAAATGGGGTCCTCACAACAGACTGAGATGTTAAAAAAAGTGGTGAGCAGAGGGTCTGGCAGTTGGATTTTGGAATTTAGTATACCTAATATGAGATTTGACCTTATTACATAATACTAAATGAGATGGCTTTTCTCTGTTCTGGAGATCTCTAAATCTTCCCAAACAAAACCAGTAGCAGAACACCAAGAAATCTTGTTTTTATTCAAACTTTAGCCCAGAATGGCAGCATTTGGCTTGTAAATATATGCTCTCTTTCCTCCGTATATTACACTAACTGCAATTTTAGTGGATGATTGAGCTAATTTTCATGCCTATATTTTCTTTCTCTTTCAAGATTTGTTGTTGGATGTGCAGATGATTCCAAATATAACTTCACTTAGAACAAGAAATGCGTTCATTTTTAAGACAGTCTTAAAGTCTTCAGTTGTGAAGTAGTTTTTCCCTGTAATACACTAACGAATAACAGTCAAGAATACGTCAATAGATGCCGTGGAAATGGTCATTTATATTTTTAATTGTAATGGGCTCAAGTTATTGTCTAGACATTGTAATTTAGAATAACAAAAGTGCTTCTCCAGTTCTACGTTTGCCTGATTGTTAAAAATGGTTTTGAGATTATGTACTCGAACCAATTTTCTATACACCTGACCGATTTCTGAACCATTTGAGTTGTTTAAGAATACTTTTACCTATATTAAACTTAGTTCATTAGACAGGATATCAGACATAAACATAATACATGAAACATATTTTCCTCCTGCAATGTTGTTCTCTACTATACTTATCCTGATTTATGTAAATCTGAAACAGTGAAGTAACAAAAGTAGGAATGAAATTAAAGAGAATAAGGACTCATGAAAATGTACACTCTGCCTACATCAGTAGGAGTGTACATTTATAAGCTAGAACACCAATCTCACTCCAGTTGTAAATCAATATCCAGTAGTCTTGCAAGAAAAAAAAATTGTTACTCTGTGCAGTGACGGATGTTAACTAAACTTACTGTGATAATTACTTCCCAACATATAGACAAATCAAATCATTTTGTTGTTCACCTAAAACCAATACGATGTTATAGGTCAATTGTATCTCAAACCCCCCCCCCCCAAAAAAAATAATAATAACTTAAAAAAATCAAGTAGTCTGGACATCCTCTCTTGCTTTTAGGATCAGTCTGAATTCTGGGACATTTTTTTTTTCTTCCCAATAGTTTCACTTCTCTTAAGTGCCAAGAAAAAGGTAAAATTGCAAAACAGGATCATTCTGTTTTTATGTAGACCCTCACATATTTTTTTTCTCTATGTTAAATGCTTCTTTAAAAAAAAGGAAATACACAGGATTAGTTCCTCTTGTATTGCTTTCAACAAGAGCTCCACCATGGAAAGCTCTCTCCCCTTCCATTCTGCAAGCCTCAACAAGTCTGTTGCTGAGTCAGAACCTGCTTTTTTCCCCCCTGATGTGAGAAATCTCCCTTGAAAACTCATAAAGCTTAGGAAATGTTTAAATTTGAGTCTCCCTGGGGCGGGAGGGGAGGGGTTAGGGCCAGGGGAGCCAGAACGAAAGTGGCAGGGAGGAGTCCCACACAAGGCAGTCCTGATGGTGGCACACTCAATGGTTTTTATGAAATACTAAGACTTGGAGCTGGCCCGGGGTTACCATGGGAGCTCGCCTCCGAACCTACTTCATGCATCCATGTGTGCAGACAACCACACGGAGCCGGGTTGGGTTCCGGGACTTTGCTCCTCGCTGGCGAAGTGAAAGCGTTTGGTGCACCGCCAGGGCTTCCTGTTTGCCCCGCGGAAAACGCCTTCACGCGGCGGCAGCAAGGTCCACGACAGCGGGCAGCACGAGGAGCCCAAACCAGAAACAAGCCCGAGAAGGCGCTTTCTAGGGCGAGGAGGGAGGAGGGCTGCAAGCGGGGGACGGCGCTGGGCGGTCTGCAGAGCCGGCAGCGCCCGCCCGCACCACCCAGCCGGCCTCAGGGTCCCCGGGCTGAGCCTCCAGGGCGGGAGGGCCGGCGTCCCCGCTCCGCTCGCAAAGCGACCGCCACGGCCGGCAGCCACTCCCAGCAGCCGTCCCCGGCCTCAGTTTCCCCCGTGGGGCACCGCAGCCCCGGGAAGCCCGCGTCCCACCAGCCAAGCCTCATGTGACCGAGGGCGGGACCGGGGTGACAGGAAGGGGGCGGGGCCGCGAGGGCGACGGGGCCGGGGCGGAGCGCGTGCGACCAAAGGGCAGTCTCTGCGCGGAACCCGCGCCGGGAGGGGCCGTTGCCCAGGAACCGTCGGCGCCGCCCGCGCACGCTCGCCCTGGTGCGCGCGCGGCGGGGGCTCGGGCCCGAGCCGGCCGCCCGCTCCCGCCACCGGCCTCCCCTTTCCCCGGGACGCCGCAGGGAGCCGCGGAGGCGCGCCGCTCGCTCCCGCGCTCCCCGGCCCTCGCCGGCCCTCCGAGGAGCGCGAGCGCGCCCCCGCCCGGGGCTGCATACTGATGAGGGGCGGGGCGGGGCGGGGCGGGGCCGCGGGGGCGGGGCGGGGCCGCGGGGGCGCGGAGGCCTCGCGCCCGCGCGTGCCAGGACGCGCCGCGGGGGGCGGTGCGATTGTGAGGTGGCGCTGACGCACGTTCCGGAGTTCTTAAGCGGCGAGGGCGGCGGCGGCGGCGGCGGCGGTGGCGGCCGTACCCGAGCCGGTCTCGGGAGGCGGCGGTGACTGCCGCGAGGGGTGGCGGGGCCGAAGTAGGTGCCCCTGGCTCAGTCACGGTGTCCCTCTCACTGGGTCCCTCTCACGGTCTCCCCTCCTTCCACCACGGCCGCGCCGCCCCAGACCCGGCGGCTTCCCAGGCGGGGCGGCGGACCGGGCGCGTCCCCTCCCGCTGCCGCCGGCCTCATAAATGAGGGACTTGGGGCTTGGGGTGCTGCAGGCCGCCCCGCTCCGAGGCGGCAGCCCCGGGCCCCTGGGCGGCGGCGGCGGCGGCGGCGGCGGCGCGTCCCGGCCCTACGCCGCGGCCGCCGCCCCGCAGCCCTCCGCCACGCCCTTCGGCCCGCTCTCGCCGCCGCCGTTGCCTGTCACCGGCATCTCGGAGGCCGCCTCCCCCTTTCCCATCCCTCTCGGCTGCGGCGGCGCGGGCAGCTCGGCGCCGCCGCCGCCGCCGCCGCCGCCGCCGCCGCTTCCTCTTCCTCCCCGTTCCTGGCGCATCAGCAGACCATGCAGGATGAGCTGCTGCTGGGGCTGACACAGCAGCCGGCGCGGCCGCTCTCGGGGGCGGCGGCCGCGGAGAAACTCCCCAACCACCACCCCGGCGGCGGCACGAACGCGGGTGTGACCCACCTCCTCCCCTCCCAGGACTTCAAACCGAGTCTGCACCACCCCTCCTCCTCCTCCGCCTCCTCCTGCTGCTGCTGCCGCACCTCCTCCCCGCAGGACTTCAGTAAGCGGCAGCAGCAGCAGCTGAGCAGCCAGAAGAGGAAAGAGTTCAGCCCTCCCCACCTTCCCCACCCTCCGGACCCGAAGCCGCCGCCGCCGCCGCCGCCGCCGCCGTCGCTCCACTGCCCCGGCCGGTTCAGCCCGCCGCCGCCGCCGCCGCCGCCGCCGCCCGGCCCGCTCCTCCAGCCGGCGCAGCTCGCCCAGCGCCCGCAGCCACAGCAGCCGCCGCCGCCGCCGCCGCAGCCGCCCTTCAGCGTACCGCACCCGCAGCACCTCCCGCCGCAGGACTTCGCCCCGCGGCAGCGCCCGACCGACCTGCCCCCGCTCCCGCAGCTCCAGCCCTCACCGCCCGCAGCCCCGCGGCGCCGCCACGGAGGCGCGGGCAGCCCTCGCAAGACCCCGGCCGCGGGCGAGGGCAGCGCCGCCGAGCCCCCCAATGCGGGCTTGTGCCCCTCGACGCCGCCGGTGAACCCCGCGCCGGGCTCCATGGAGTCCCCCAACCACCCTCTGCTCAACAGTCCCAGTAACCTCCTGCCCGGCGGGGCGCTCGGCGCGGGCGCCTTCAGCAGCCTGCAGAGCCCGGACCTTCCGCACCCGGGCGGCGGCGGCGGGGGCGGGGGGCCCCCCGGAGGCGGAGGGGGAGGCGGCTCCGCGTCGCCGCCGCCGCTGCCCGGCTTCGGCACCCCCTGGTCGGTGCAGACCGCGTCGCCGCCGCCGCCGCCCCAGCCCCAGCCGCCGCCGCCGCCGCCGCCGCAGCAGCAGCCGCCGCAGCCCCAGCAGCCGCCGCAGCCCCAGCCGCAGCAGCCCGGCTCCTCGGCCGCCACCCCGGGCGCGGCGGCGGCGGCGGCGGCGGAGGCTCGCTCAGCGCCATGCCGCCGCCCAGCCCCGATTCAGAGAACGGCTTCTACCCCGGGCTGCCGTCGTCCATGAACCCGGCCTTCTTCCCGAGCTTCTCGCCCGTGTCCCCGCACGGCTGCGCGGGACTCAGCGTGCCGGCGAGCGGCGGCGGCGGCGGCGGCGGCTTCGGCGGCCCCTTCTCGGCGGCCGCAGTGCCCCCGCCGCCGCCGCCCGCCATGAATTTACCTCAGCAGCAGCCCCCGCCGCCCGCGGCGCAGCAGCAGCCGCAGAGCCGCAGGTCGCCCGTCAGCCCGCAGCTCCAGCAGCAGCACCAGGCGGCGGCCGCCGCCTTCCTGCAGCAGAGGAACTCCTACAACCACCACCAGGTACGGCAGGCGGCGGCCGGGCTGCGCCGCGGGGCTGGGGACCGGGGCGGCGAGGGCCGCTCGCCCGAGGGAGAGCGGGACCGAGAGGGCGAGAAGGCTGACGGGACGCGGGGACCCCGGCCCTCGGCGGGACGGGCGGGCGGGCAGCGGCCGCCGTGGGCTGCGGGGCTGCGGGGCTGCGGGGCTGCGAGGCTGCGAGGCTGCGAGGCTCGGGCCGGGGGCTGGTGCTGGAAGCCGCCCGGGCCGGGCGCCCCCTCGAACGAACGCCCGGCGCGGCGGTGGGGGCTGGGGCCGCGGCCGAATGGCGCCCGGGCCGAGGGCGGCGGCGGCGGCGGCGGCGGGTGGGGCGGCTCGGCAGTCCCCCGCGGCGGGCGCCCCTGGCTGGCGTAGGAGGCCCGCGGTCCGCGGCCCGCAAGCCCGAGGGACGCGGCGAGGACGGGCGGGCCCGGGCGGCGGCCGAGGGAGGCGAACTCGGGAAGGAGGAACCGGAACGGCGCGGACGGTGCGTGCGGGGCGCCGGGGACTCTTCCCGGTCGTCCAGTGGGGAGCGGCGGAGAGGCGCTCTCGGGTCGAGCCTGGCTCTCGGCGCCCCGGCCGGCGCGGGGTCTGGCGGGGCAGGAGGTGGCCGCCGGGCCGCCCGCCCGCCCGCCCGCCCGCTCGCCCGTTCGCCCGTTCGCCCGCCCGCCGGCCGCTGCGCCGGCGAGCGCAGGGGCCCGGCGCCGGGAGAGCAGCGGCCGAGGCGCCGCGGGCGCCGTCAGGGCGGACCTGTCAGACCGCGCTAGAGCCGCGCCGGCTGGGTCGCGGCCCGGAGGCCCGACACCGGGTCTCTGCGCCTCTTGGTGCGTGACGAATATTCTGTGGCGTTTTGAGACCAAACTAAACTTGAGCCCGGATTCGTGTGCGACCTCGGAGGGAGGAGGACTCCCGGGGTGTTTCGGTGGCCTTGACCTTTTCTTGAGTGATGGGGTTTGTCTGTTTTACCTGCGGTAATGCGATTATGAAATCACACTCGGCAGGGTTTTTTGTTTTTTGTTTTTGTTTTTTAATTCATCCGGGTCATTTCTGATTCAAGCTCTTTGGTTATCTTCTCAATACAGTGTTTGAACGACCTCTGGGTTGGTTAATTGACATTGAAAGACTATTTTGTTCTTTTCCGATCCAGTCAGCATTTATTGTAGTGATTAGTATGTTTAAGGTCATTTTCGTGATTGAGGATCGAGAGACAAGCAAAATTGGACCTTAACCAGTGCCTGCTTACTCCTATAACTTTTTCCGTTGACCAGTTCAAGTTTTCAAGAGCTCACCTTTTGAAAGACGAATGCTGTCTAACCAAAGTAACACTTCCGAGTTTATTTGAATTAACCAGAGTAACAGTTAAATTTTGTTTTTTTTTTTTTTTAATTTTGGATTACTGGTGTCTCCCCGAAAAACGAGAATGTGGCCTACGAGGATTGAAATTACGGAATTCTGAAATAATGTTCCACTTTCCCATGGTTTCCACAACCCCTAGAGGGTATCTTTTGTGTGTCAGGGTCTTCATTTTTTTTTTTTTTTTAACTGGTAGGTTGCCACAGGTAAATTATTTTTAGGTACTTTCGTATTCTTAGACCTATGATGTAGAACATTAGAAGACCTTATGTTATGATTCATATTTAACGATAATCTGTTTTTTGTCAGAAGATGGTTCTCACAGTGAAGTTTAGGAGGTCACCCAGCTGTCATGTGGAATTTTAAGATCACTGGAAGAGACCTTGAACACTTTATCAGTAAGGAAAGGAAGGCCCCTCAAGAATGGAGTGATTTGTTCACTGTCCCTGAGCTATGCCTTTGGAACTGTGTTGAGGGGGCACTGTATATTTATGAATTTATTGGAATTTAAGAATGTTTTTAAATAGGTACTATAGATTCAGTTGTTTTTTTGTTTGTTTGTTTTTAAGTTGTCTTGTAAGAAGGAGGTTTCTGATAAGAATACTTCTTCCAACTTACTAGAGCGACTGCATGGTCCATACTTCCTCTGGCTCACTGTTAGTGTAAGCTTATTGACAACATAATTGCTAGCAGTTAATACTTTTCAAAAAAACTATAGTTACTGCCTCTTGGCAGATTCTTACCTCTTTTTTTTTGGTTATAGGTTCTAGTTTGGAATATAATTTACTTTTGAAAATGAATGAACTGAATGGAGATTTGTATTGAGATCTCGCTAGAATGATCAAGGCATATAGTTGTTTATCTTTGGTATATCTCAGTGGATCCACCTATGGGTAACAACAGATAATTGCTTAACTGTTCATGGATAATTAAGTGAAAGAAAAACAAAAACACTTTAAAAGAAACTACATTAAAATTGGAATAAAACATCTTAAAAAGTTGAATAAACAAAGAAGGCTTTTTTTTCTGTACTGTCACTGTACTGAAAGGTGTTTTTAGTTCACGCAAGAGACCACCACCAAAGGTTACCATTATCCACTGTTGCATTAGTGCAGTTTGTTTTGGAACTCGCCTATCATTACTCCTATCTTTATTAATTAAAGACCATGTTTTTAGTTGTAAGCCTAGCAGAATATGGTTGTTTTAAGATCACAGTGTAGGTTATTATCTTTGAGGATCTTCAAATTTAATTTCAATTTTAAAGTGTTTTTTTTTTCTGATTATTATATAATTTTGAAGGGAAAGAAAAGTAACTGCGTGGTTCTATTTTAATAATTGTTATGAAATATCTGCTTGAGTCATTATCATTTAAAGTGGACAAGAGGATGAAAACCCATCTGGCATTAAATGAATGTTTTCATATAGCAAGATCTCAAACCTATTACTTTCGTAACCTGTTAAGATATATTCTGTTGCCTTTAGAGATTTTTTTTAAGATTATATTTTTAGCTCAGGTGTAAATTTGAGTTTGAATTATAAACTCTTTAAATGCCTGTAATTTAAACAGATGTGTTTTTCTCAGCCTCTTCTGAAACAATCTCCTTGGAGCAACCATCAGAGCAGTGGCTGGGGCACTGGAAGTATGTCGTGGGGAGCAGTGCATGGCAGAGATCATCGTAGAACTGGAAACATGGGAATTCCAGGAACTATGAATCAGATATCTCCATTGAAGAAACCGTTTTCTGGTAATGTCATAGCACCACCGAAATTTACTCGCTCAACTCCATCACTGACTCCAAAATCTTGGATCGAAGATAATGTGTTCAGAACAGACAACAATAGTAATACACTCTTACCCTTACAGGTAAGAATGGTATGTAAATGGTCTTATTTTTAATGTTTATCTTTCAAAATAGGAAATTGGGTGGTGGTAGTAATACTAGTATGGTAAAATTAACAGATTAAACATAATAAAAAAGCTCTTAATTTTTAAGCCTATAATTTAATTGCCAAAGGATAAAATACATATGTATATAGAAAATTGAGACTTAAAAATTCTTGAGACACACAGTAGGAAAGAAGCTTCATAAGATATAGAAAAACCTGCTGTATTTCTTAAATGCATGAAGCTCTTTAATTGGCAGCTCAAGAATGCCTGAATTTATTCATCTTTAGTAGGCCACCAAAATAAATTTCTTTTCCAATATAGGTAAACTAAAATGTTAAGTAATTATTCATAGATTTGCCTTTAATCAGCTGTATATATATATTAGGATATAGTTAGTACAGCTGTAATTATGGCAAAGTAATGTTAGGGCTTTTTGCATCAAATTAAAATTTGTCCTCAGTGGTCCAATGACTATTTTTTCCTAAATGTGGCCTAATAGTTATGATGATTAGATATTTTTCAGGCCTTTTAATGCTTTACTGTTATTATAGGGTAATAAAGATCTTTATAGCCATTTAAAATGAAAAGTTTTCCCCCCTAAGGCCTTTAAGAGGACCAAAGATACAAATTAGAAGGAACTTTGATTGTTTTTGTTTTCTTTTTTCTTTTTTCTTTTTCTTTTGTGGGTGGGTGTGGGGAAGAGAACTGCTTATTTCTGATGAAAACTTCTATGCTATTGAAGGTGAGATCTAGTTTGCAGTTACCAGCTTGGGGCTCAGATTCACTCCAAGATAGTTGGTGCACTGCAGCCGGAACATCCAGAATAGACCAGGTAGGCTGCACAGTGTATACTTTTCAGGATTTTGACTAGGAGTTTAGTGTTTGTATTATGAGTAAGATTTATTATTTACTTTCCAATTAATACTTTTTTAAAGCATATGTCAAAGAACATTAAAGCAATTTATTTTTAAAATGTCACTTATTTAATATGAAATGATTCATTTTCAGATTTATAAGTAATTCATAATTATATTTCCAAAACAATTTGTTTTTGGAAAAAGGAATTATATACCCAAGAGCACCTGACTTTAGAGATCAGTCAAACTGAACAGATTTTATCTTTCTGAATTACTTTCAGTTAACATTCAATTTTACAGAATTTTCATCAGTGTTCTACAGAATTTTTTAGTGGATTTTTGTCATGAACAAAAATCTACATCTACAAATCTACATTTGTCTTGAGACGTATTTCTAAAGAAGCCCTAGCTGCAATTTTTTTACCTTTAAAAAAAAAATCATATGTAGTATTTCTTTATTCTAAAATTTGTCACTGTTCTTATATACTATCTTCTTCCAAATAATGTTTCCCGTAGAAAAACCCTAAATCGAAAAGCTAGAAATCAGTCTTAAATTACCTTCAAGCCCTTTGTGGTTACAAAATGCTATCTCTTTTCCTGCAGACTAAATTTGAATTCATACTGGGTACCCGGTGATGAGCATTATTACAGGACAAGTAGAAAACTCAGTCCTTCATGAGGATTCTTTACTACAGAGCCGCAGCTTGAATGAGCATAGACTTGACATTGTGGGAGCCCACTGAATGGAGCTATGTTATCCTTAGCTAAGGCTCTTCCTTAGTTAATTTATCAACATGAGATGATTTTACAAGTAAGGACTATAATAGATTAATAATGTTTGCAAATAGCTTTTGAATCTGCAGGGTTAGCAGTAACTTCAATAATCTATCATTAGCATTTATTTTAGACAAGTCCTACCTATTTACCAAAATAGTCCTACCACTTAGAAATAGTTACCTCACGTAATGTGTAATTTATCGTTTTGTTAATAATTTAAGTTAGCTGTCCATCTATTTCTATTCACTTCACTCTGGCTCGGTTAGGCCATATTAGTGACATTTTTATGGTATTACTTTCATGTTGTTCAAATTGAATATATAAATGCCTAGGAGATGGTAGAAGAGGAAAATTAAAATAATCATTTTGAAGGTGGCAAGGGACATGTTTTTAGAGAGGAAAGGACAATTATTTGAAGAGCATATGTAAGAAGAAGCAGAGGATATGTATAAGGGATATTAACTATGGAGAAGAAAGGAGACAGATTAGCTGGCATAAAGGGACCATGGGGGTGGGGCATATGAGGTTATTGAAATTATTTCAGTTTGTCTAGTGCTAGAGAGTAGATAGAGGTGATAATGAAAGGGAAGTTTGTAAGCGGGGCTCTACAGGAGGGCCTTTAGGTTGCTGGAAGATGAGGGCCTCAGCACTCCTGCTTAGATTTCAGTCAAATCCACTCTGTTCTTACCTGTTTTATAACCTAGGATTTTAGGTAAATTGATTTTACGTAAAAGGATTTAGGTGCTTAAAGATAACTTTTTTTTTTTTGGTAAACTGCTGAGATATTGGCATTCCCTGTGGATCCTTGAGCCAAAAGTGTGATGTGATGAAGTTGGAGTGGTGAAGAAAAAGAGTGTGAAGTGAACTAAAGGAAGGGAACCTGAAACATCTTCCATCTTCCTCTTTCTCAGTCCTTGTAACATCAGAGGTGACAGTCTATGGGCTTTCATATTTTTGGATCATAGTTTTCTTATCTATAAAAGGAGAACCTTGAACTAGATCATGAAAAGCCTTTTTAGCCAGTTTAGTTTTCTCTGATCTATTTTGGCCATTTCTCTTCCTCCCTGTGCACCATCTGCCCCCCCCCACCACACACACACACACACACACACACACACACACACACACATTATTTTTAGAATATAAGTGTCTTGGTTTATTGGGGAGAAGGGGAATTGGATTGAGGCAGTCAAGGTGTAGTGTATGACCTCCTAACTGGTCTTAAAAAGCAATGTGGTTTTCTCTTTTGAGGCCCCTAAGGGTACATATTATACATAATTTGTTCTGTGTTTCTATCTTTCCATAAAAGGTTGAGGTATTTGAAGTTGAGGTTCTTAAAAATACAGCAACAACTACAAACTTCAATTGGTATCTTACACCATTGGGTAGTTCCTTACTGTTTAGCAAAGTTAAAATTATTGAAAAATCTTAAGCACTTAAATATCTGGGGCAGTATTTTCATTCTGACTTTTTTTCATCACATCCAGCATTTTGATACTAATTAATCTCAGTTAACAAATACATTATTTTAAAACATTTAACTTTTCATTTCTTTTAGTTTCAAATTGATTAGGCATCTAAAATATACTAAATTCTAGAGCTGGAGTCTTAACTCTTATACCTGGATACTTGATGCCTTATCTATACCAAAAACTAGACATGAGTTTCACATTCAACAAATAGGATAGAAATAGTTTTATAGATTGGTTTTATTCAGTTGCATATAAAGTTTTTAAGGTTGCTGGGCATTTCCTTTAAGTATTTTCTTATGGAAAAGCTTCAAATTTAAAACTTTTAAAAACAAAGGTAAAGTTGTATATACATTTCTGACTTTAAAATGAATATTAGTTATATGTGTTAATTTCCTTAAGGCTAAGAATACTTTTCTTTAAAATGCTGTTAGCTAGTTAACCCTTGCAAGAAGTCATACTCAGATATGTATGAATTCTAATTACCTCAGAAGTAAATTTTCAATTAGATACTGAGATTACAGTATATTTATTAATACTTGAATATTTTAAATCAGAAAGTAAATATACTAGTAGCTGAGATTATTACTTACAGGTTTATATATAGTACATCAGTTCTCTGTAAGCAAGGTAACGTAATGCCTTTAAAAGTGTAATGTAGCTGTAAAGCCTTATGGATGTTGGCCTGTCCTCTAGCCTAAGGGATTGGAATTATCAGTATAGTCAGTTCTAGATTTTTGTTCCTGTGGAAGTTCTTGAGCATGTCACCTAAACTACCTTGAATTAATTGAAGCTATTTTCTGCCAGTCTTTAATACCCAGACTGTTATGTGACAACACAATAGATGATAATATGTGGGTCTCTCATAAAAATATATTTGGTGTCTTTATTCATTTTACACAAGAAACAGTGGCAGACCAAGTCTAATTTTTCATTTAATAAAGCATTCCTTAAACTGTGATTCTTAAATAAGATGAATCTCGGGACAGTGGTAGTCAACAAACCGTTAGCGTGTACAGAAAATGAGAAAGACTAGGTTCTCTTGTACTTAGGTAACCCATGCTTTCTTTTTAAGTTTTTTATCCTGCATTCAGTTCTTTAACTGCACTTGATGCATTCTTATACTACACATTTTCTACTTGCCTTTCCATTTAATCCTTGTGGATACTAGTATAGTTTTAGTCAGTTGGGGCCTGTAAAAATAAATAAATAAAATTTTTTTTTCAAAGCCACTGTCATAGCACTTTGTCAAGGTTCAGATTAGTAAAAGAAGTTGAAAAAATGTATGTTCTTTGATGTATGTGGTAGTGTATTAATTACCTTTGGGGTATATTACCTTTGGTATATTCTTTGCCTTTGAGAAGGTGAAAGTGCAGTCAGATGAAGAAGGAGTATCTGTGTGGAACAGCTAGAGACCGATACGAGAGAGTAGAAGGCTGAACGCAACATGTGCAGTAAGACAGTAGTAGCATGTCCTCTGCTAACTCAGTGCAGTGGCAGGGGGGCATCAGGAATGTAAAATCACTATTCACTTAGAATTGAGGATGATAGTAATTTATTTTATTTTAAGTGAAAATTGGAAACAAAACACAAAAATACAACAAAAGCTGATCTTCCTACTTAGAAGAATGTATGTTAAAGCATCTGGTATATCTTTAAATTTGACAATACAGAGTTTTCCTATAATCCATCTCCCTTTTCTTTGGGTGAATACTTCATTTTCAAGAGGAAAATCTTCTTCCTGACCACTTCTTTTGAAATGAGACAGGGTTTTGAATATATCAAAGTAAAAACATAGCATCCTATTGAAGTGTCCCTCTTAATTAAGTTCAAGTTCTTTTTGTTGTAATAATTTTAATATTCTTGGTCTGTTTTTCAGCATTTCTTAGGCCATCCTATTTAAGATTAGGATTACTTTGTTCTTTCTGTATTTTTCAGTCTTTCTGGGACTATGTTGTTTCTATAAGTCTTTAAGGCAAATGTCTAAGTTTAAGAAAATAATAAAACATTAGAATGGAATATACTGATTGTAGCTTTGCCGACAATATTTTCCTCAGTTTTGCCTATTCATTGCTGTGGGAATCTGTGATCTCAATTTCTGAAAACCCATTTAAGTTGACTCTTGCCAGGTAATTTTCATATTTAAAGTAGGTTAGGGTAACCTTTTCCTCATAGAGATTTTTTTATTTTTTAAGATGTTTATTTATTCATGAGAGACACAGAGAGAGGCAGAGACATAGGGAGAAACAGGCTCTCCAGAGGGAGCCTGATGTGGGACTCCATTCCAGAACCCCAGAATCACTACCTGAGCCAAAAGTGGGTGTCCAACCACTGAGCGACCCAGGTGCCCCTCCTCATAGAGATTCTTAATTTTGTGAAACATCTTGACTTTTCAAATTAGTCATGTAGTGATGAATATAAGTTACATTACTATGGTTTTCCATATGTACTACGCTGCTTGGTTTTGATGTGTTTGTTTACCTTAAAATAGTTTCAGGATTTCCATTTAGTTTTTAAACCAGTGGTAGTTTGTATGAACACAGATTTTTCTAATAGCTTTATTTCAGAAAAAATGCATGAGTATTTGTTTCATAATCAGATATGTTTCTGTTTCTGTTTCTATGTTTTGTTGGGTTTTTTTTAAAGAAGTTATATTCTAATCCCCATACTTTATTTAATGGGATTATCTGTATTTTCTTAACATGAGCCTATAGGTTTCATTAAATCCAGAAAGTGATTTTGACATATCATGTGATTTTTGCCTGCTCAAGGCTATTTTGTGTTTGGTGTTTTAAAAATCATGTGGGATGCATCTGATGCTTACCAAAGTGTAAGTTAGTTAATAGTTTTATAATAGTTTTGTTATTTTCTTTACTAAAGGAGGAGTTTATTTTATGATGAGAGACTTGAAAGGAAAATAAGGGGCCTTATTAGTGGTCATTGCACTATTTCAGTAAGAAAGCTAAAACTATCAATACACACAGCTTTTTTGAATAAACACTGTCAGTTGATTACCTAGTGGCCACTGATAATTATTGAATAACTTGCTTATGTATTTCCCTTCTTACCTTAAATATTGCCCATGGCCCATTGACAGTGTCTATGGAATTACTTCATTAATTTTACTTTAAATTTTGCTCTAAAGCAGGATCATAAACTTTGAATGGAGAGAAATATTATTTGGGTGGCAGTAATAGTCATCATTAATTAAGTTCATAGGTCCACTGTGATGGGTCATAGTCTGATTCTGTTCAAAAACCGTTAGCCTGGGAAGATATCCCTAAACCATAACACATTTTCTTTGCAAGAATTTAAGGTAAATAGAATATAAAGTATTTATAATATATCTTAGAATCTATATGGTAGCTTATCCTCTGAGGGTTTTGTTTTTTTTTTACTTATATGTACAATTTTTATGATAGTTTCCATTTTTAAGTTCTATTTTTAAATATGTTTTTAATACACCTTAGTTTTGTCAGTTAACATCTGAATACTATTCCATAGAGGATTGTAAGACTGAACAGTCTTTACCCTCACAGAGCTCAACTTCAATTCACAGAGTTTTTGTAGTAGAGATAAAGTACTATTCATTCAACAAACATTTGAGAGATAGCTATATTCCATAATTAGAAGGTCCCTACCCCTAATGAACTTAGTCTAGTGAGTAAGGCAGGAAAATCAACAAATTGGTCATGAACAAAGTATAGTGGAAGCACAGAAGATGGAAATATTTGGATAGATTACTAAAATTGTATGTCATTTTTGCCCAAGGGCCATGCTTTTCTCTATTCCAATTTTACTTCATTTATTATATAGTTCTTTGAGTCTTTTGCCTCTTTTTTTTTTTTTTTAAGATTTTACTTATTCATGAGAGACAGGCAGAGACATAGGCAGAGGGAGAAGCAGGCTCCATGCAGGGAGCCCGATGTGGGACTTGATCCCAGGACTCCAGGATCACGCCCTGAGCCGAAGGCAGACGCTTAACCACTGAACCACCCAGGCATCCCTATTTCTCTTATTTTAAAAGTGGACTTTAGGCACTGTGTAGTCTGAATTTTCTTTTCTAGAAGATAGAACAGAACCTAAAGATGTTTGGTTAACTTAAGATTTTTTTTTTGTTTAGAGATTTTATTTATTTATCAATGAGAGAGAGAGAGAGAGAGAGAGAGAGAGGCAGAGGCAGAGGGAGAAGCAGACTCCATGCAGGGAGCCAGATGCGGGACTTGACTTGATCCTGAGACTCCAGGATCACGCCCTGGGCCAAAGGCAGGCACTAAACTACTGAGCCACCCAGGGATCTCTAACTTACTCAAGATTAAGAAGCTTGGCACTTAAGTATGGTCTCTGGACTAGCAGTCTAAGTATCACCTGGGAACTTACTATAAATGCATATTCTCAGGGGCCACCCTAAGCCTGTTGAAAATTGACTCTGAGCAGTGCCAGCATTCTGGGTCCCAGTAATCTGTGCGTTTGACAGTCCTTCCAGTGACTTTGAAGCATGCCCAAGTGTGAGAACTACTATTCTAGTTCAGTGATTGTGACTCTCCTACCAAAGTCATTGTTAATGAAGTCAAATAAAGTAAGTAAAGATAAGGAGTACCAGTATAGCTGTCTGGTGATAAAGCTGGAGTGAGAACAGCTGGTCCAGCATCCTACCAGTTAATATTACTTTGCACACTTCTACATTCCTCAACAGCAATTTGTTTAGTCTACAATACTGATTCTGGCCCCCTCGCTTTAAAAACTCACAACCCTAATTTAAACATCAAGTGGAGTAAATAAATCAACATATTTCCAGGAAAGCTTCTTACTTTTTTTCTTTAGCTTTCTAAAAGACTGGCTCTGAATCATCTCTGGATTGTGGACTCCTTTGAAAAACTGATGAAATCCTTTTCTTCAGGAAAGAATTATGTGTACACAGATGTATAGAATATTGTATATAATCTCAGAGATTTCATGCTCCTTGAAGTTCACGGACTCAGGTTAAAAAGTCCCTAATTCTGATTTCTGTAGAGACTTCTTTGCCCTACTTTTCTGATTCTTCCATTTTCTTTTTCTGTATTAATCATTTTTTGAAAGTTAGAAACAGCCTTCCCTGCCTCTCCTTCATGTACGTACACTTGTACAAAAATCTATGCACATTTAAATGGGTGGGGATCATCACTGACATTTTGGTGATTTAGGGGGCATGGGCCAAGAGCTTGCTCTGGTAGTTCCCCATGTCTATTTGTTCAAGTACGGTGAGGGTGTGTTGGACAGAATAATGGTATAAATTCATAGGCATTAATCAAATTCCTTCTAGTAAGCAAGTTGACAGATTTAACATTTAGCAAACAAGACTTCCAGCTATAAAAAAGGCTTTGTTCTGGGACTTGATGAGGTAGGAAACTTGATGAGATGAGAATACTTTCTATCCTCTTTCCTCCACCCCTGCCTTCTTTGCAGGGTGTGGAGGGAAAGAGAATTTAGAAATGCGGAGACCGGTATGTGAGAACTTCAGAGAGCAAGATCTGAATATAAATATTATAGGTGTTAGTCTTGGTTCTGATGTTAGTAGTTCATGCTTTTAAGATTTACTATATGTTTGTGTTTAATATTGAAAATTCTGATTAAGTCAAATAATGTACACTGTTTGATAGATATTTAAAGTATGGTGCCATTATGGGATTAATTCCTTTCCCCCAAAATATTTATTTTTCAAGTGCCAGTATCTTCCTAGATACATGAGAAAAGTTTAGAAGTTAAATTTAACAACTAAAAATGCTTTCTATGTGTATAACATTTCAGAAATCTTTATAAGTTGAGAATGGTAACAATAGAAATAATTTTACTATATTAATGCTGCCAGTGAAGTAAGATTACTTTCGATATGATTTTAGAGATGAATATATTAAATGTCTTCTTCAGTACAAGAGATACTATAGCTCATGAGATCCTTAGTTACTGGTAAATCTTAGGATGCAGCCAGTTAGTAATACTATATTAATCAGATGTCATATTTTATGTAAGAAGGTTTAGAATGGTATATTTATCATAGATTTTTTAAAAAGTTGCATACATCACATTGAGTCTTTTTTTTTTCTCTTCTAGGATCGAAGTAGAATGTATGACAGTTTGAATATGCACTCTTTGGAAAATTCCCTTATTGATATTATGAGAGCAGAGCATGATCCTCTTAAGGGTAGGTGACTTTTTATTTCTTATATCATGCACCAAATTCTGTTTACCTCACCATTTTTATATGAAAATTAGCACTAAGTAGCACCTGTGTCATCTATAAAATTCTATCATGTTTGTTGATAAAAAACCTTTATAAAATGTTCTTTTTCTTTTGTAGCTTATTTAGATTTATGCTGATTTATGCAGAGAGAAATGTAAACCCATGTCTCCTGTTATCTAAGAAAAAGCCACTGTTTAGAGATATTTTGCAGTTTGCCAAAGGATCTAAGTATATAGAAAAGTATATAGTATAGTCACTTTTCTAGAATGCAGATACAGAAATTAAAAAAAAAATCCTTAGAATACATGAATTTACAATTTGCCATGATTCCAACTTATAATTGCCCCAAGTTGACTTCCTTTCGTCACATTTTGTTATAGGGTTTTGAAAGGGGATCTTTTATAGTAGCATCTCTGAGGTTTCATAAGAGTTGGGGCAAATTAGGAAAAAGAATCAGCCCCACCCATCTTACAGTATTAGTTTTATTTGTTAACTGATCTGAAGATATTTCATTAACATACTTGTTTTCATTTGTCTGTACATTGCATGTTACTAATTATTTTACATTTCTTTGTACAATATATCTCATTGCCTTTTGTATTCATGGTGAAAATCTACCAAACTGCACTTGAGTGACGGGACCTATGCTATCTATTGCTGCGTAATAAATTATCCCAAAATTTAGCAACTTAAAACAACCTTACACAGTTCTGTGGGTCAGGAATTCAGGAGCAGCTTAACTGGTTAGTTCTGGCTCAGCATCTCTCTCTCGCTCATTGACTCAAAACTATGGACTACTTGGAAATCTTTCCATATTTTTAATTCTATAAAGCCAAGTAAGAATTCCCTTGCAGGATTTAGCCAAAAACTCTAGAACTTCAGTGTTGGCTGCAAGGTGGTGCCTTGAGGCTGAGTTGGCAATACTGATCAGATATCTAAACATTTTGTTCTGTTTCTGGATTTTGTTTATAAAGGAGTTTCTTGTCTTTCTAATTCCTTTATTTTTAAGGAGCTTGTAAAGCTCGAGATTAGTGATTGTTAACAGTGTGTGGCGATGGTAATTCTCACAAACTAATAAAGACTATTAAACTTTGGGATTTTTTAGAGGGGGAGGGTGATTCTAAACAAAACCTAATCTAATTTTTTGAGTATCTGTATCTTGGGGTCTTGTTCTCTTTCATTGTTACTCTGACAGTTCTAGCGGCATGTGTCTTGGATCTGCTGTTTAATAATAGAATCCAGCAGTTTATGATTATGAAGAAGTTTCGTCTGTTTCTTTGGCTTATCTAGAAAGAAAACTCTTAAAAATTCCAATGCACGATAAAGTCATCATTAACTATTATCAGTAAATAATGAAATGTTTTCCATTGTTGTGTTTCTCCTAGTCCTTAAAAAGATCTTTTAAAGATGCTAAGAAAAACCATTCTCTGCTGGAAAATTATCTCGGGTTTTCTTTTTTCTAAAGTCTATGTTATAGTAAAACTGGAGAGAAACCTAGAAAGGAGACTTTGAAAAGAAAATGGAAACAGTCTAAGGCTCAGAGGAATTTAATAATTAAAAAAAAAATCTCAGATGAACTCCAAACTCTTTTGTTAGAAAAATTGTCTTTGGCCATGGGAAGAGGGGATATGTGCTCAGCACCACCTTTTGGAATTATTGTAACAAATCTCTGTTCTAATTGGAGTATTTTATGTTCCACATTTATTGTGGCAAGGACTTAAAAGAGAAAAAAAAGAAAAAATTGAGATTTCTTCTCTACATGGAAAAAGAAATAAGACCGGTACTTTTGCATACTGCCATCGTACACTTATGTAAATGGCTGTGATACCCAAGTGCCGCTACATAAAGATTTTTCTTTTCTTACTAGTACAGACTTAACTGCCTTCTAAGATATCATATTATATATCTTCCTCTTTGCACTCTGATCCTTGCACATTTTCTCTGGGTGGGACCTCATTAAAATCTGCTAAAAGCAAAGTTGTGGCAAAATAAGCAGCCAGTCTCTGAACTTTCCCCTTTTTTCCATCCCTCATGTTCAGGACAGCATTTCAGCCTCTCCATCTCTTCCTCTTCAATCTCATCTTTTCATTCCTTTCAGAAAATTCTGCCTTCGGTTTTATATAAGAAAAAAAAATTTTTTTTTGAAAAAAAAAAAAAGAATGAATCTTATTTTATCTATCATCTTTAAATTTTTTCAAAAAGTCTTCCATTTGCTTTGTTTTCTTTATGGGATCTAACAGGAAGGAAAAGGGGAGTTGTAGGGTTATTTTTTCTTCATTTTCTTGTTTCCCTTTCTATTAATGATAAAAGTTTCTAGAAATTTTTCTAATATAAAAATTTTCCACAGGAACTTAAGTGATGAGAGATTATTTTGTCATGTATTGTTGAATAACAAATTACCCCTCAGTTTAGCAGCTTAAAACAACAATAAACATTTATTATCTCAACATAATTTCTGTAGGTTAGAATTTGGGAACTAAATTAGTTGAACTGATACAGTCATGTGGAGGCTTAACTGGAGCTGGAAGTTCCTTTTCCAGGAGCTGTACTAACTCACTCATGTTAGTACAGGCCATTGGCAGGAGAACTCAGTTGCTTCACCATGTGGCCCTTTCTCAGGACAGCTGGAGTGTCCTCACAGCATATTCCCTGGATCCCCAGAGCAAAGATAAAGCTCCAGGTGAATGTCCCAGTGTCTTCTATGACCTAGTTTCAGAAGTCTTACGCCTGCATTTCCATGACATCCTACTACCTACATAGGTCAGCCCTTCGCAACTTGGAGAAGGGTCTGCTACTCAAGAGATGTGAATGCTGGAAACTATAAATTTGCATTCAGTTCTCCTAAAGGAAAAGAGAAAACTACTCAAGGTAAGAGTTAGTGTCAGTAGAAAGAAAAACAGTCAAGCAGCTCTCTGGAATCCAAAGGAAGTCTGGCAGGTTACTGGCCTGAGAACTGAGCCATAGTGCCATCCCCACTGCAGCCCCAAGATAGTTCACTACAGCTTGTTTCCATTTTCCTGCCTTTCAGTGGTCTTTACTGGTCAGTAGGGAACCTCCACTGTGTCATGTTAAGGTTCTGTGGTTTAGTGTAACTTGTAGGAAGGGTCTCTAGATGCACTTTATTCCACTAAGGGTTCCTACTTTTGTACCAGGCAGTGTCCAAGACCTTGTGTAAAACAGATATAGTCTGTGTTCTTGTGGGATTTACACCCTACCAGGGAAAAAGGGACTTTTATCTTTTTATGTGTAATATACATATATACATAGGATATACTACTATAATATTCATATACATAAAATCCATACCTATAACCATAGAGTGTTAGAAGTTCTGTGGAGGGAGATGATAAAGTGCTTGGGGAGGTAATAAGTAAGGGGAGGGGAGATGTAATTTATCTGTGGACTAAAGAAAGCTAAGACCTGAAGCTTGAACAGCAGCACAAAGATGAAAAAATATTGGAGGAAAGTGTCAACTAGACAGAAGGGCCAGGGTGCATGGAAAGGCCTGTCACCTTTGAGGAACTGAAAGCAGACAAGTGACATAGCTTGTTTCTGGTTGCCTGATGCTGATGGGATGTAAGTGCTCAGCCAGCCTTGGGGAGCAAGTGGGCCGCCTTTGGGCCACCTTTTCTTCCAGATTAGGAACACTAACACACCATTTTATGCTTTCCTTGTTGACACCAATCTGTTTTATTTATTCTTCATTGGTTTCTTGCCTTTAACATCCCGTTGTCTGATGACTGTCTTCATTCTTGGCAAATATTTTTCTTTTCAAAGGAAGAACAAATACAGATTATTTTAATGGTTAAAATGCTTTGCCAACTGCGGTTTTGTGATTTTGCAATTTTGTATTTGTATACCTATATTAAATGATCTTTTTATGTGTGTGTGGGTCAGTTCATTCTGCTCTAAACAAAGGAACAAGACAGTGATTATCATTAAGCTCTCTCCCCTCCCTGCCCTCAACAATTTGCAAAAAGGTCTTACTGTGTAAGTATGTTTACCAAAAATTGCTTACCTCCTCCCCAAAAGTATAAGAGTAAACCAAAAAATTAAATTTCAACTGAAAAAAAATTATTTGAAAACTGCAAAGAAATGCCATGATCTAACAGTTCTTGGAAGGATCTGTTTTAGCAAGTCACAGTGACTTTACCAATATTCCCTCAACAATTTAAAGGAATTCAGGAAAAGGGGATTTAGAGTATGATTTTATGCCAACATATTTAAACTCCTGTTTTCCAAGATTCCTGAAGTAGAATCTCTGCTATTTTAAGGAAAATAACTACTGAGAAAATAAGGATACTTCTTAAGGCAAAAGTGGCTGTATGTAATAATCAAATAAATTCTTGCCTCTTCTGTTGTTCTTTTCTTTCTGATTCTCTTCAACTGACCTGGATGTAAATTTGAAGTACAAAATCACAGAATAACTTGTATACATTTTTAATAGTCTGTGGCGTGAGAATTTACATTTTAGAACTAAAGGACTTTCAAGCTGGGCAGAGATTCTCAAACTCAGAGAGCATATTTATTAGGCAGGTTTCAGGACCCCACTCCAAGAGACTGCATGTCAGGTTGTGTAAAGAGCACACTTGGGGGAATTCTGGAGTAGGGGAGCAAGATCAAAGACATCTAAGAAAAACTGTAAAAATTTAAATGGCATTTATTAAAATACCACAAAGTGCAAAATAAAGCTAGTATCAATAATATATACGCCCAAGCAGTTATGTCGATTCTCTTAAGTTCCTAGTACCCTTCCCTCACTGATTCTCTGGCAGAGAGAGGAATGCATCTCTCAGAACTAATTGCACTTTTCATTGGCTCACTTAGGTTTCCTGGAGTCAGAATTATCACAGGTGCCAGAAAGTACAAATGAAAAATAATGTGTAATAGAATGTCTTCAATAAAAGATAAGGAGGGATTGTTGTATATGCTTTCAGTCTTTAAAGAAAATGTTTCTTTTT